AACAAGAAGCTAGTAGTAACAAGTGCCACGCTAGTAGTAACAGGTGCTTCTTGGGCCCAACCACCTTTCTTATCTTGCCGGAAGAACGCTACTGCCGCACACGCGTGGCCTTCTCACCCCAGTTGGCCGCCTTCTCCATGGACTCGGTCTGCACATCTTCAACACGTAATTGTTCATTTTTCATCTATATATGCATTTGTTATTTCAGACCTTTAGGCCAACCTAAGAGCACTGGCCTCCAACCTGGAAGCCTCTCCTTTCCGTGTTTCCTGCCCTTTCGATCGCCCCGTTCGCCTGCTTGGCCAATCGTGCCAGAAGCATCCGAAGTCGTCCCCTCAGCTTCTACCAGCTTCACACTCCACCGCTCGTTCATCCACTCCGAGGAGGCAACGTATTGAAGTCTGGTGGGATGAAGCCCTGACCTGTGTCCCACCAATGAGAAGGCAGCGAGAAGAACAGGAGCACAGTGATTGGGATAACCAGCGCTGAACAAAACACCCATCTTGCACAATGTACATGCTAACGGGCACAGACCTGTCCATCTTCCAATTTGCAGTTGCATCATTGAAATCAGCTCATCGCGTTGCAAATTTTTCGGGATCCCGAGCCCAGCAGTGTCGTGTCAGGTTCGGGCTGGAGATCAACGAAATGCCGCACCGGCATAAAGCCTTCACCTTCCGTCAGGCCAACCATCAGAATTGTCCAACTGGACTTTTCATTGACGATGCTTCCCTCTGGCTGATGATGGCAATCACCTGCCTGCCGTCGCCATGGCGGATACTATGACTATGATGTATTCTCAGCGACTCTCAGCGCGCTGGGTGCCAGTGAAGCATGTAGTCTAGACTTCCAGTTGCCATCCAAGTCCTTCGTGCAGATCGATGAATTTCTTGACTAACTAGGCTCTGTCTGGGATAGTGGTTTCCACACTCATTTGTGTATGTCTTGGTTGGTTGGTTGGTTGCTTGCTTGCTTGCTTGGTTGGTTGCTTGGTGGGTGGGTGGGTGGGTGGCTGGACGTGTGGGTGGACGTGTGGGTGGATGTGTGGGTGGTTCTGTTTGTTGTGGCACTGTACAGTGACTGCTTGAGTTCCAGGAACTGCGCTTTAATCGCTTTGTCCGAGGAATCTTGTGAACCACACCAGGCTCATAAAGCTGCCGAGATTCCGAGATTGGCGGCGAGACAACCGAGCACATGCTGCATCCACACAATTCCACAGTGTGGCAAACATCTGCTCTCCAGAGGGGCCGACTGCAATTTGATCTCACAGCACAATCTTTGCCCGCGGTTTTCGCGGGAGGTCCTTTCTCAACTGCCATGGGCTTGTTTGCAAAGCCAGCACCAGCAAACTGCCACGTGATTCCATGACGGCTCTGCCGTGCCAGTCACAAGCACCAGCATGTCACTATTTGCATCACAGCTCAGCTTCTTCGCTGGCTGCTTTCAGGCGCTTAGCCTGAAAGACTTAAAGACTAGCCAGTTAGCATAGAAAAGCCAAAAAACACCATTGCACTATACTATACATTGCACCGTGCCGCTCATGAGCATAGTCAACATGATGACGAGCAAATGACCAGGCTTACGAGATGACACAATTCATTTTCTTCTTGGTTTCTTCAATGGTTTGTTCTAGATTCTCATTCTGTGCTTTCAAGTCGCTAGTGTCTGATTCAAAGAAGGCAATTCTGCTTTGCAAATGCTTGGTCTCGTCCTGGAGACTTTGCAATTGACCCTTCAGATTGTTCGTGTTCTCCGTCATTCGGTCAACTCGTTCAGAGGCAGTGGCGCGTTGTCCTTTGGCATGTTGTAAGTGTGTGTCTGCTTCAGCATGCTCACTTTCAAGCTGGCTTTCCGCATGAAACATCTTCGCTTCCGCAGTTGCAAACTCCGTTTGCTCCTCCTGGCATCTTGCATGTGCCACATCTCTGTCGGATGAGAGCTGCTTTGCTTCCTCTTGCGCCAAGCATGCCTGTTGCTCAGACTCTTCTAGAGTTTGTCTCAGTTCTGCATGAGAACTGCAAACTCCCTCTAAGACTTCACCTCTCTCGCGCACCATGTTGTACATCTCACTCAAATAGAACTGCAAAGATGTGCCATGTTCTCCAGCCTTAGCCAGCTCTACCGCCAACGAGTCTCCTTCATGCATTGCATCCACCAGCTCCCGCAAGCGCTTTTCCAGCGAGTGCCGGGTTTCTTCTAAATTGTCCACTTGTCTATGGCTTTGAACATTTGCGGCCTTCGCCTCGCAGGTATTGTGAAACTGAGTCGATGCTTCAGTCTCTTCCATTGCAAGGTAGAGGCGCTGCCTTGAGCTATGAAATTCTGCTCCGGACAACTCATCCTCCAGGCTGTCATTCTCCAGATCAACCTTTTCAAGATCTGCATTCGTCCCCAAGCACTGCAGCTGTATCCCTCCCGATCGTTGCATGCTCTTCTGAACGACAAGCTCATTGCGTTTGGTCTCCTCCAGCACATGACGTCTCTCTTCAGCAGCTCTTGCCAACAAGTTTTCATCAACGACGTTTTCATGGAGATAGCTCTGGAGCTGCTCTGAGAGGCGATCTTGGTCCAAGCGAGTTGCTTCCATTTCTTCTTCAAATCTGCGACTCTTCGCTCTGGAAATAGAGATGGCATCCTTTCGAACAGCTTTGCGACGCTCCACGGAACCCAATGAGCTCCTCAAGTCTTGAATCTCCCGTGTACGTTCATTCAGTTCGGTGTGGCTCTCCTGAGCCTGCACTTCTACTTCTTCAATTTCAGAGCGAAGCTCCTGTACTGTTTGCTCTGATTGTAGCACTTGAGGGTACACCCGTCGCATGAGGCTAAAGATCTTTCCACACCACTGGCTCGGCTAATTTCATGGGAGCGACCCAATGCGCTTGCGCCATGGCAACTCGGTTCTGAGCTTCCGTGGGTTTCTATTTGTATGCGTGGCGTTCTTTTGTGTAGGCTTCTTTTTTCTGTCACCTCGACTGCTATATTGCATCCTGGCAATTATCCGTGATGGATGATTAATTGGATCGCATGCCCCTCATATTGCTGAATTTATTTCCTGACCGTGTTTTCCAGCGCATGAATGATTTCTATCAACCATCTGCGGCCGCTTCGGAGCCAAGGGATTCTGTCATTCCCGTCTGCCACGTCGTCGGGAACTTCTCGTACCGAGAGGCGCACCTTACAACGTGCAACACCTCATTATGTTGCCTCAACAGAGGCCAAATATGAAAAGAGTTATATTCGTAATACCAGCAAGTTACCGGCAACTAACTTTTTCACGCCACACCCTGATTTGCACGCGTTCTTGCCAAGCTTTCCCGGGGTGTCAGCAACACCCCTTGCTCGCCTGTCAATATGTTGTGCGATGATATGATTTTGCATCTTGCGTGTCAAACTGGTGAATGGTTGATGAATGTGCCCTCTTCATGCTTTCATCACTTACATCTCACTCCTAATCGAGTTGTGCGTGGCGATGGTGCTCGCCGCAATGGTGCAAGTATCCTGCAACACCAAGGAGGATCCATTTCGGCAACACCACGCAGGCCTTTTTGTAGAATGACATGGTTCTCCGTATATAAATCTTACCGGTAATCTCACATGTAGTCTGTCCAAGGCTGCCTGTGTGACATGCATAACTCCAGAAATCTCCCACTGCTCGATTCTGGAACTGAAGACTTGGGATGGAACTCATACAGTTTCAATCACTTGGACCGCTTGAGTGCCTCTTTGGCAGCGGCCCTACTGGAGGCAATCCATCATCCAGCCTAGGCTTTTCAATTTACGTCGATGTCAATGTCTCAAACATGGGAACGCCTGTTGACTGAAAGGTGTGTCAACTGGTCAGTATGGGTTCGCAAGCACGCGTTTCCCAGCGTGACAGGTGCATAGCACAGCCACGCAACAAACGTGGAGAGGTCGGACGTGCTGGTGCTGACTGTGAGGAGCCCAGGCCACGTTCTTGCGGGGAGCCACCTGGCTTTTCAATATTTCGTTCATTGAGATTCATGTCATATAACCCATGTTATATTATATATATACATACTATCGTATATCTAACGATTTTACTTCATAGTACTTCATAGTAGCTGTTTGCCCTCGATTTGAGATTCATAAGAAGCCCTTTCAGCCCGGCTGCCCGCCTCCCGTTCGGTGTGGGGTATTTGCCCTTGAGCTTTGCGAGGGCAAAGTGGAAAAGCCGTGCCGTGTTATAGGCCTCAAAGCCACCAGTTGAACCACTTAGACTTAGACATAACTTAACACTTAGCTTCAAGAAATATGATGTAAGTTTATTTCATGCCTCTCATCTATACCGGCTCTCCAATGCCACATTGCTCTCGCAAAAACAGTTTCAGCCACGAGGCAATAGAGTGCGTGGAGAGCGCGCGCGGCCAGGAGCCACCGTGAGTGGCTTGAAAGCATCATCTGACCTAGCAAAAGGTCCCGCGTCATATTAAATTATTGACGATTCGCTCGAAAGAGTATATGGCGAGGAAGAAAGCCGAAAGGCGCTCTACACCCTCCTTCTAAAAATCATAGAAGTGGACAGTCGCCTCCTAACGATGTTCCTATAAGTGGGGTGATCACTTCCATTTTGGGGGGAAGGAAGGAAGTACATATAGTTTGATCTACATTTATCACCATGTCATTCCTGGCGCCATCGGGAAGTGCACCATATCTGGCCTTGTGTGCGTTGTCCCTGAAAGCAAGGGCTCCAAGGCAGCGCTTGGAAACCGCCTGAAGCAACATCGGAAGTCGGCGCTTCCTTGTTCGATTTCCTGCTGCTTCCGTGCTCTCTGCATATTCACGACGCTTGCGTGTTTCAGCCGTTGTGCTGAAGCTGCACCGGGCATCAGGTCACCCACGTCCAGGTTTCAGCTGAGGGAATTTCACAAGTTGCAGCCGGCCGTCTGCTACTATTCCTACTCAGCCTCCTTAAACTTAGAACATATATAATATATAACTTATATAAGCTTGCACTGCTTTGGCCGCTTTACGGGGTACAAGCGGCACAACCCTCAAAAAACTGATAAAGCATCAGTTGTTCGATTGGCTAGGCTCCTCCATCACGACAAACTGAGTCCTGCACCTATTATCGACAGAGATGTAGCCGCCGCGGGGTCTTTCCTTCAGCTCCAAGTGGGTTCAACACAAATGGTGTTGACATTTGTTGACCGCTGCTTCTGCACTTCCAAGCCCAGCTTCTGGTCGGGGAACCGATGGAGGATGGATGTCCTCACCCCAAACAGCCAATCGGCGGGCTTGAAGGGGTCGGGGGTTTGTCGGGTCAGCGAAGTTGAAGGCTGGGGGGGCGTCACCTTTGGGGAGGAAAGTGGATGACAATGGATGATAAAATATGATATCGCAAAAAACACCTCTGCCAGCAATCGAAACCGACAACATCCGACAACACTGGCCAAATCATCCAGAAGTCTGCACACGTAGGTTGGGCGGCACAACGCACATGCAAAATGAACAGTGACTTGGAGCAACCTGTGGCAATGCACATGGTACGACGGCTCCGCCTGCCCTTTGGGAGGGGACCGCGGTGGTCGTGGACTGCCCGAGTTGTTGAGCAATTCCTGGACCACCTGATGACCCGAAGCATGAGCTCATGAGATCTCAAAAAATCACAAGAGAGGCTAAAAAGCATCACGCCTGTGCAGCTTGCTGGAGACATTGGCTAATCATCTGTGGGTCATCGAAGGAGCACCCTGACCGTCTTGAACACGAGAGAGAGAGAGAGAGAGAGGTGGCGCACAAACTACATGGACTGATCTCAACTTGAGATTTATTCCATCAGCACAAAGCCCAGCCTTCTGGAACCACCAGCTTCTCTGTTGGATGCATCACCAAACATTTCTTAGACACAAAGTGCCATTGGCGCTATGGCTATGGCATTTTAGTTGCGTGGCGTGGTCATCCATCATGCGGTTGACAGTTGCAGCATCCCATCCCCACCTCATCCTTGCATTCAAAGGCTCATTCAAGTATTTTCCTGCTAACGCGCAGATAGTTGAGCTGTCCGGGCGTGCCTTGCAGTGTGTCAACTCCAACCGTTGGTGCAATAAAGCACGGCATGGGATACGTTTTGTTATCGATTCTGCAGGCCAAGTGCATCCTGCTCCACCTGGAGGATCTCAGAGCAAAGCTTTGCCACTCGTTGAGATGCTTCGGCTGGTAAGGGTGGATACTCTGCCCGGTTGATCCTTAGCTACGAAACAACTTAAGGATGCATCCCATGTGCCTGGGTCTGCAAATGTCACCAAAAATAAGCAAACAGTTGTGATGCAAAATATAGCCCTCCTGATCTGCGCTCAAAAGAACGGACGGGAGGCCGTGGCATCGCAACACACCTTTCAGTTCAAGCGACTTGTGCCCCAGCATATAATAGTTCATGCCAGGACCAGCGAAAGGACTTCTTAGCGTGTAAAGCTGGTACAGGACGCAGCCCATACTCCAAATGTCCTGAGATCATATGCACAAACCGATATGATTCTATGATATGTAGAAGACATGTGGAAACTGTGTATAGAGACGGTGAACTAGGTGCCAATACTAACTCTGGAACTGTTTGCTTGTGAGATGCCGATTTAAAGGAATAGCCGCCCGAATCCTTGAGCACAGCACACACTTCAAGCAAACAAATGCTACGACTACTTTCCGATGAATCTCTCAAGCCAACTGTCGGCTGTGCTGGTGCAAGCAAGCTGCAGAAATAACTTCCTCAAATGGCGTCTCACCATGTTAGACTGTGACACCACCATCTACTTGCGCCAAATGCATCCAAAATACCGGAGACATGTAAAACGGGGTTCCGACCACAGAGTGGGCCTTGTAGGTATTTGAGCCAAAGAATCTGCCTCAGGCGTAGGATGCTGAACTGGCCAAAGGTGTGCTTCGATACCCAGGTTGGCCACGCAAACATAGGCCAAAGCTCCAACCTACTAGCGATGGCCTCCAGCCTAATAGCAATCGCCTCCAACCTACTACGTCGTAGCGATATGCCAAGACACCGAGACCCAAGTCTCCAAGCTTTACCACTCCACGGTGACCTGAAAACGAGTCTCCAGTCTTCCAGCAGAAACATGCGCAGCTCACTCGCAGCCATTGAGTTTGGAATCTCCGAAAGGTTTCTTCGAGGCACAAATGAAGGTATTCTCTGGCTTTATGTCCCGGTGCATGATGCGCTGCCTGGATAAAGCAAATGAGCTTTATGTCGCCCGCTGCCCTCAACCCCAGCCCTCAACAGAAACATGGCAACTAGAGGAGGCCCCAGTTTCCCCTTGCAACCTCTCGTACAAACCCCACCTGTGCATGTGGTGCAGCGCCTCACCGATCTGAAAAAAGATCCCCCACACCTGTGCCAGATTCGACTCCTATGGCAGGCCTTGTGGAGAAAAAACTTTTTAGTGCAGTGGTGGAAAGCATCTAATGACAGCAAGAAACTGTAACTATCCCGGCAAGAGGCCCCAAACACTGTGTGTGAGGTCAAAAAGCAGAAAGTCTAGAGATCTAGACGCACTGGGGTCCACAGAGGTGATGGTGGTGATCAAGGTGGGGGTCGTGGTGACGGTGGCGGTGGTGGTGAGTGAGTGTGAGTGTGAGTTTGAGTGTGAGTGAGAGTGAGAGTGGGAGTGAGAGTGAGAGTGAGTGTGGGTGAGAGTGAGTGTGGGTGAGAGTGAGTGTGGGTGAGAGTGAGAGTGTGAGGGAGTGTGAGTGTGAGCGAGAGTGGGAGAGTGAGTGTGAGGGAGTGTGAGTGGATGTGAGTGAGAGTGAATGTGGGTGAGAGTGTGAGTGTGAGCGCGAGTGTGCTGCACCTGCACCTCGAGGTTCACCAAGTCGTGCGCCTGCCACGAAATCTGCACGTCGAGGCTCACCAAGTGCTGCCCCTGCCACGAAATCTGCACTTCGAGGTTCACAAAGTGCTGCACCTGCCACGAAATCTGCACTTCGAGGTTCACAAAGTGCTACACCTGCCACGAAAAATCTGCACATCATCGGGGGTCACAGAGTGCTGTGCCTCCCACGAAATCTGCAAACGAGCCACATGTCCAAAAGTCACGGTTCACTGCACCTGTCAGAGCTCCTCGACGATCACCACCATGTCCAAAGTGCTGCACCTGCCACGAAAACTGCACTTCGCAGTAAAACGCCTCCGACCCCTGGCACCTGTCACAAAAAGTCGACTTTGGAGCACCAAAACACGAGGTTTCCCCGGCGCCTGCCACGAAAAGTGATCACCATGAGCGAAAATGCGCACGGCACCACAACGAGAGCGCAGTCGTTAGAAGCACCCGCCGCAGGCACCCAGATTCAGCGAGCCTGCTCAGTCGAAATGCACATTGACGATGTTGAGAGGCATGAATGCACTGTAAATAGCAGCGAATTAGCCGGATACGCCCGCGCGGCACACCTATCTAAGCACAGCTGCTTTTCACTTACTGTAAGAACCCCTAGTATGTCCACACTGTTTGGGGAAAAATAATTGAACTACTATGAACTGCTCTAAAAGACTTTGCATCAGGTCGATGACTCCCAGCCACAATGGCGCCTGGTGTTCTTCTAAGAGTCGATCCATGTGCTTCTGCTTGCCTCGAACCATTTGTTGGTGACCCCTCCAGGGGTTAAAAAAAAGAGGCAGAAGACTTTCTTGCAGCTTGCGATCCATTTGTCCTAGCTGCTCAAAAGACTGGATAGATCACCGTGCGCAGCCAATTCCAGGATGATCACCATCTCATTGTCTTCTGTGAAGGAGTCCTGAGGACAAGGAACAAACTGCAGCACACAGCCGACGGGAAGGGTGTGCTGACAAGCATCAAAGTACTTGATGATAGTAGCGTGAGAGAGTTCTTGCAATATCTTGGCTTCAGCATAGACCTCGCGTCTGGCATGGTCGTTCATCTCGTCAATCCTCAGGACAACCAAGGCCCTTTCAGCGTGCAGTGCAGGCCGAACTTGGCACAGCAAAATGCATTCAATGCAATGGAGCTACTGTATGCGCTTGAGCGCCACTTCACCTCAGTCAGAATCTTTCGTGGCGATAGATGTGGAAGCGATCAACCAAATTAGGATATTTGCATGTGCATGTCAATTCTTCCTTGAGCAACTTGAGCTCTTCCCTCTCGCTCCGAGGCACGGTCGCCCCCAGCCTTCCAAAGCGCTCGATGCACTTCCGAAAACTGTCCACGGCCAATGGCGCCAATGATCTGAAAGTCATGAATCCGAGGCAGCAGCCTTCAAGGAAGTCAAAGTGACAAAGCGACACTAAGGCCAAGTTTCACAGGCCTGAGCGGCCGTGAGCGGTGATATCTATCTCTATATATACATGTAGTAATGAAAGAAAATGTATATACATGTGTGTGTATGTTCATTTGGTTATATATATATATATATGTGTGTGTGTGTGTTTCACAGTAGATGTTATGTCTCATCTGCCTCTGTAGCTTGTCCCAGGCCTACATCCTGCCAAATCGAAAATCATCTGCGCCGAGGGCCGCTGTGTGGGGTCCACCGTCAGGATCTGGGACACAATACTCAGGAATTCCTTCGACCACACATCCTGGTGAGACAAGCAGACTCGGGCTTGGGTAAAGCCCAGGGTGGCACAGCCATGCAATAACAAGGGCCACAACAGCACATCAACCAGTGAAGGATTCAGTACAAACGCAGAAAGGGATGAATGATGAAAATGAATGGACTTCCCTGCTACTAAGAGGCTGAAGGTAGCTCTGGATATTCTGCAGAGCAAATGGCATGGCCCAAAGCCACAAAATCCATATCCTCAACATCTTCACACATTTTGCAAACAATAATCTGCCTTGGCGGCACAACATTATGCCAGGCATCTGTGCGATAGAAGGGTGGCAGCCCCGCTGCCAATTCATAAAGCGAGCAACCAAGGCTCCATATGTCAGAGCCTTGACCAGCAATGCAACAATCTAGCATCTTAGAACATTTGCAGATAGAGAGAAAGAGAGGAGAGAAGGGAGAACATGCAATCACAAGAATGCTTGCATTGGCACTTGGTATCGCCGCTGACGTCGGTACTTTCGGCATGCCTAATTAATAGCAGGCCGCGCATGCAAAGAATATACAAATATACGGCTACAGGATTCGCTACAGGATTCGCTACAGGATTCCAGCCCGGCATCTCTTCATAAAGACAAGCAGCCAAAGGAATAACCCTCGCCCCGCACAATCTCTGGAGACATGTAAAGCCTTAGAGTTTGGCGTACAAGCACCGCGAGACAAAGAGCAAGCAACAGCCTTTTCATTGCAAAGCCGGTCCCAATCTCTAAGGTCAAAGCGGTGTGCCAACGCAAGACATGGCGCAGGTCGTCGCATCAGAGAAGGCCTGGCCCCACTGGACTTACTTGAACTTGCACGGACTCTTGGATCTTGCCAATCGAAAGCGGCGTACTTGGGCATCCGATGCCACAAGGCCATACAAGGTCCAGCTTTATGATATGTGACACTGCTCAACGTCCGCAAGCCTTTGAGAGACCAAAATCCCCCAGCTTCGCCTGACAGAGTGATGGTTGGTCCTCACCCCGGCTTTCGATTCTTGTCCATGCTGTGGCTTTGGACTCCAGTTTCTTGTGAGTTATGCTCTCGGTTCTTGACTCCCTCACTCTATCTCTGCCAAGTCCGAGCCTGGCCAGTTTCGCCAATGAAGATGTGCGATGGCTTCACGTCCCTGTGAAGTACCCGTCGCTTGTGGAGATATGCTAGCGCACCTCAGCCAATATGTTGGCTGTGTTACCGCTCCACTCCACTTCAATCGTGTACGCTAGGCTACCGCATCATCTTCAAACTGAACAAATGCAGGGCACTGGATACGTCGTTCAGCCATCGCCAAACCAGGTGCTCTTCGATGAGCTTCTCCTGCCTTGCCACACTTACATGTCAAAAAGGATGGTCCCGCTTGCGATCAAAACAAACAACATATGATAGCAGTTGGCTTCGCTGGTCCATCTGCAACTGAGGATCTGGTTGGCCTGTTCAATTCGATTGGCCAGTGTGCCGCCAGTAGCTAGCTCCATCACAAGGAACAAATCACCGTGAAAGGTGAAGTGGGTGTGGTATTTGATCCTGACACGCACGTCTTTTCCACGATCGCCTCCGTTGCTAATGTCACGCTGTCATAGCCAGGGAATTTGAACAGTTCAGCTCAGTGACAGATTCGGATGGTCCAACATCTGGAGGATCGTGATTTCCGTCTCACACTCCTTCTGCAACCTGTCATCCAAATCATGAGTAACCTTGGATGGATCGAGTGACCCCCTCCCAGTGAGAGCTCGAAAATGGTTTTCTGACCTTGGCTGGGTTTGCCAGGGAGCTCGCTTGACGGCGACCACGGCACCTTGATGGCTCGCTGATCAAAAACCATCAGTTACTGAACCTCAATCAATTATATTTACATTCATTTGTTTACATCTATTTATATACCCAAACCAATCTGCCAAGGAACATGTCTCAAGGTATGTGGCTTCCTTGGTAAATCGTCTGGTGCAAATTAAGGAGGAAGGCTGAAGGCCAGCGGCGAACATCGCTTTCAACAATGTCAGAAAGGTACAGAAGGGCACCCAGACAAACCTGATGCGCCGTCCAAGATGATACTTTAGCGACATCGCAGCCAACAATGCAGGCAAGGTCCACCAAAGACTGCACTAATCAAAAGCGCCCGAAACATAACTTGAGAGAGGAGGGGGGTGAACGAAAGGTAGCAGGGAATCAGGCGTAATCCGGGAGGAGGTGAGAGGCCCCCCACTTGTTTGAAGAGAAGTGACTGAGCGTGATGAAAGAAAAACGCACCACGGTTGTGTGCTGGAAAAGCGCAGAAAACCGTGTAAATACCGGCGTTTTCTGCCGGGAAGGTGCACAAAATCTTTCCTGGTTGTTGGTCTTTTTTCGGTCTTTTTTCTAACCGAGACGCATCAAAAACCATCGGTTTTTGCGGTGTTTTTTGCCGGACAGCCACAAAAAACGCTGTAAATTCCATGATTTTTGGTAACTGTTGAGGACTGGAAGAGCTGAAAACACTGGTATTTACAGTATTTTCGAACCGTTGACCCCGAGGCGCGCCAGGGTGGAGTTGAAAGGGGGGGGCCCCCCCCGGCCACAAACGAAGATGTCGGGGACCATTTCTCAGTGAGATAGGCTCCAGCTCTGGGTATAATACATTTTTGCTAAAGCAAAAGGAAAACTCAGGTAGCGTAACCGCTACCTTTCGTGATTAGAAGGAACGAAACCGAATAACAAAGAAACATGGGGGCCGAAGGATACTTTCTGGGGCCGTACCAAGTGAATTAAAATCTGCTGCAGCAAGGGGAAGGCAGCATGCTAAAAAACACCAAAAAGAACGGCGCAATCCTGTGCGCTGGGCTGGTGGGTGAATCATAAGAAAACTGCAATTTAACATCCGAAAACTTGGGCCATGGAATGCCAAGGCGTAGTACTTGAGCCGAGTATCGTTAACTCTGGATGCATGGCCCCGGGAAATGCAGCGGCCGATCTTATAGGAGCTCAGGAGGTTCATGGCCGGTTACCGGGGCTCCATGGACCTCCGGTAGACTCCATGGCGTGCGAACTGGGCCGTGATTCACGGCCGACCCCACTCAGCTAAAACAAAAAGAATGAAGGCCAGGCGATCGGAAGTTGAAGAAAAGTTTGGTGTTTGCTTCTAGCTATGTACTAGTAGCGATGCCCGTGTTACTAGTAGATTCATCGATTCATGATGGTTCATGTGGTGATGAAGTCAAGGCGATCTGGTGATCCTCGCTGTCCGCTCCTCTTTTGGTGCAAAACATCCTGCAACAACCTCATGAAACGTGTCGGGTCTAGGCTTTATATAAATATACATACTTCGAGCCACTAAAATCAGTAAAACGTCTTCAAGAACTTTTACAGTTCCGATGTGTTTTAGCCCTGCCTTCTTGATTCTGTACACTGGCTGGAGCCACAAAGTTTAGAGAAGTTGCTTCAACAAACACATGGTCACATGGTCCTTTATCCGTGCTCCTTGGCTTAGGGAATCACCAAATCTAAAGCACAAGTTCCCCGCATCATTTTCTTCTGGCAGCATGCTGCAGCTGCTTCACGGCACTAAATGTCGTGGATGAAGTCGGACCAACGCCTCTTCTCCCTCCACTTCCTCAGTCGGATCATGTCGACTCCCATTCGGACCACTAAACACGTGCCGTCTTGTGATGACAGGAACAAGGGAAATGAGGAAAAAACATGCCAAGGCTCGACTGCATATCGGCCATCGGGCAGGACCTGTCGCAAGCGCGCCCGGCGACCTTCTAAACCGCGGAGGCGCTGGGCACCTCATGGTCCAAACAAGAGCGAGCTAAGGACCACCAAGCATAACAAACGCAAAACCAATGTCAGGTCTCGGTCTTAGTCATTGTATGCCATGTGCACATTCCCTGTATGCCATGCGAATGTGTCTTTAAGAATGTCGACCAAAGAAGACTGAGCCAAGTGGCAGCTCTTCAGTCCACCCAGGCGAAGCACGGAGCCCAGTGGCAGTTGCACCCTGCAAAGGGCCCAATGATCCAGCAGCGTTTTTTGGCGCTTCTTGCCAGTTCTTGCTTCAAGGCTTTGAATAAAGTTTGTGTAGATTTAGATGAGTTGAAGGTGCAAAACCATATGAGGATAGGCAATGAACTTCAATTACAGTATTTGATGGTTCCTTGAGTCTCTTTGGATCGCTTGAATCAATGCACAAAACCGATGTGGAGCCAAGCGCTTGACCAAAATCCCACCTGTGTGGAGCCAAACGCTTGACTTCAACAGCATCTTGCCTGAGATATCTGAGATGAACCATGATCATCCATGATCCAGTTTATCTGGATGATCTCTCGCTTTAGGGCTGCAGCTGAGCCAGCAACAGCCACTCAAGACCTCCATCAGCGGCTATGGAGCTACCCGCGACCCAGGCATGAGAACCTTTCAGCACAGCTATGAAAAGGTTGTCTTTTGGCCAGGCTGTCGGGAATTCCACTACATTCATCACATGTCTTGGCGCACCTCCCAACTGCACTGGAAGTTGTTGAGTGAAGCCTTTTGCATCCAGAAGCTGGCATTCTTCGCCAAGCCTCCAAGTTGCATAATTACATGACACCCCAACACATCGGACACATGCCCTGCCATTTGTGACCCCCCTCTTACTGGGTCTGGTCGTTCGTGCGCGCAGTCGTCGTTTGATGTTTCTTTTTCATCACCCTGTTTGAAGTTTGACAGCGAACATCCTTCACATCGTTTGGGGCCCTCCAAGGAGCACACAACGAGCGTCGTTGCGGGTGCCAAAACATGCATCTTTGGTATGCCGCGCTTCCTTATCCAATACTTCTCGTCGCTGCAGACGAAGCTTTCCTTTGTCATGTTCAATAATCTGTGCAAACTTGGCGCGTCGGACGAATTGACTTGGCTTCAATTTAACAAACAACAGGCAACAAATATTGTTTACCAAAGTTTCGACTGTTGCAGTGTTGGCATCTGACCATGCTAGGCAATCTTCAAATGCTGAGCGTAGAATCACCTGCAACTTGCAACAACAAAAATTAAGAAGGCCTCTTTTCTACTAGGCCAGATCAAGGGTTGAACTACAGCTGGGTATCACCCGCACCCTGTCAACTATATACAAAGATTACAAAGTGTTCCATCCGCAGCAAACAGAATTTCATGCCGGGATTCCCTCCTTCGTGCCCTTGGGAATTTGTATGCAGCCTTCAATTTCCTGGGACAAAAGCATATTGTTTTACCAGCTTTGTGCCCAACTCAGCAGCTGAAGGAATAGAGACAACAACAGTGAAGAGCGCTTGTAGGCTTGCATGAATGTGCATTGGACTTGCATTCCACTGCATGCTCTGCCGCTCTTACGCGGGCCAAGGCCAGACCGCCCCATAGCCGGGGGGGGGTCGTTTTTATTAGGTGGGTGTATTATTGTTGGACTGACTGGGTGCGGGACCCCCCGGGAACAATCACAAGGGGGGGGTTAATAGTTATTTCCATTATGCAGGGTGTACTTGTTATAGCGACGGACTGAAACGTAGAATGCCTCGAAAATCATCACGTCTCTATCCTCGGGTTTGGAACGCATACGTGGGACCAAACCTGTGGGGCAGACTTAGAATGGGTCAAAGGTGTCACCGGCAAGCGTATATTATTGATTCAAGACCTGCACACATATAGCAGTGGTGATGATGGTAGTAGTCGTCGTCGTCGTGGTAGTAGCAGCAGTGTCATTCTAAGCATCATCACCTGCGCGCACACACACACATATATATATATATACCTGAGAAGGGAGGGGACGAAAGCAGCCTCTGGGTTAGGGATTGTTTCAGGGAAGCCTGGGCAAAGATTTGGCGTGCAAGATGAGGTGATTGGGCAACATCGGGCAAAGAGTACTTTCATGGGGTGAAGTTGACATCACAGCCACACTGATAGGGAGGTAGAAATAAACAACCCCCAATCCACGTGAACTCCCACCCCCTCTTCAGTCCAGCCGCAACTTACAATCTGTTCTCTTTCCATCGCCTCCTGGGCCCCTCATGATGCTGATGATGCACTCTTCGCCGTCAATTACGTCGCTTGCATCACAACACCTCTAAAACCACTCATTTTTCACTACCTCCACACCTCCTCTTTTTTTCGCTCTCCCCCACCAGGCTCTGGGTTCACATCTCCGAAATTGGCCGCCTCGCGACCACCCCCCCACACCCCCTTGAACTGACTTCGTTCACTCCCGGCTGGCTTTCGTGATATACAACTATGCTTTCCGGACTGGAACTTTGGAAATTTGCATTCTAAGCCTAGGGGCATTTCTCACGTAACATGCTAAAGATGGAAAATTAACAAAGTTTGGAAATCCTCACGATAGCATTCTAAATTCCAGTCCGGCGCTATATAACAATTGGAGGGGGTGTAAATTTGTTTTAAATTGGGTTGGTTCAGTCGTAATAACAATTGGGGGGGGCAATCGTTGTTTCAATTGGGCGCAATTGCAATAACAATTGGGGGGTGTTGTTGTTGTGTCCACTCGGCGGATGTGTATATATACAATGGGCGCAAGTTATAACAACAGAGGTGGTTGTCATTGTATCACTCAGAGAGGGTGAGTTTCGTAACAAAGCACCATGAGGAAGTCTGTGCGAACCCCACAGTGGCCCAAAAGATTGGAGCCCTAGTCAAGGGAGCAGCAACATACACCCCCCTTATTGTTACAACGAAACCACCCACCCAAGTCCATCTTTTCGTTTCTAGCTAAACCCCCCCCTAAAGAAAAAAACAATACACCCCCCTGATTGTTACAACGACACCCACACACACACACACGCACACACACACACACCAATTGTTTCATTTCTTGTTAAGCCCAGGTCCGTCATACCTAGATCCCGGCCCCGTCAGTCATTTCTTGTCAAGCCCGGGTCCGTCATACCTAGATCCCGGCCCCGTCAGTTCATTTCTTGTTAAGACCGGATCCGTCATACCTAGGTCCCGGCCCCGTCGTTCATTTCTTGTTAAGCCCGAATCCGTCATTTCGTTTCTAGCTGAACCCACCCCAAAAAAAAAGGAACTAGACGACGGTCGGCCCGAGAGCGAGAAAGATGATTGTCAAGCAATTCCGAGTAAGGAAATAGTTAAAATCGAGTTGTCCAAGGGCCATGACTTCTTTATACAATCTGTTATTGAATAAGAAGTAGCGAAGAAATTAGATTTAAAGTATTAAGAGAAAAAGATATGCAGAAAGAGAGAAAGAGAGGGCGGATGTGAAGGAGTGACAGTGTGGATGCGCAGGTGTGATATGGATGTGCAGATGTGCGGGTGTGTGGAGGTAGATCTGCGGACGTGAGCATGTGAAGATGTAAATGTACAGAGGTGAAGGTGTGTAGACGTAGATGCGCAGATGAAACGGCAGCGCAACGTTGTGGGTCAGGAGCGCCAACCTTGGTGCATTTCTCGCTGTGCAAGCACAACGCTGAAGAGGCTCGAATCAAACTGAAGAACGTCCATTCCACACTGAAGTCCAGACACAGAATGGCGAGAAAATCCACTGCCATCGAAAAACATAGCGAACTTCTAAGCTTCTGGAACAAGCGCAGCTACGAGGTAAATTTTCATTGAAAAAACGTCAATACACATCAAGGCAACAGCGACCCTCAGACAAGGTGCGCACATGTAAAGAAACGATCAAGTTTCGAGCGGATCAACTCAGTATGATGTCATATGTGTATGCAAAGTTCAAGTCCATATTCAAAAAACTTCAGTACCTACATACCGCGAATAAAGCACACGACGTCATATTTATACGCAAGATACCATGAAAGTATGAAACAAAAGCTCGGCGCCAACATACCGTGAAGGCATCCATGATGTGAATGCACATGCGGATGATGTCATATGTTTATGCAAAGTTTAAGTTTGTATGTGAATAAAGCATATGACGTCATATTTATAAGCGAAAAAACATGAAAGTCTGAAACAAAAGCTCCGTGAAAGCCTCCATGATGTGAACGCACATGCGAATGATGCATGCTATGTCATATATGCCTCCCAATTCGAAGGTCAAATGTTCAATAAATACTTCGGTGCCAAGACACTGTAAATGAGGAAAATGATATCATAGTTATATGGAAAATACCATACAAATCTTAAAAAGAGAAGCTTGGTACCAACACACCCTGAAGGCATCCTGAAGAGCAAATACAAGTTGAGATTCAGAAAAGGCTGAGCCTGACCAAGATGATTCAGATCGACGCAGTTGCGCATAATAAGATAATAGCAAAAGTATCTTCCCACACAGACCGAAAAATCAAAGCTCATTTTTTTCAAGTAGCACGCGTCGCAAATCCCACGTCTTCGTTTAACGAGAATTCAGGGGCACGCAAGCGGAGCATTGCTTTGGGTTCGTCATACATAATGTTCGCTCCTCGCTCGGATAACCCCTGCCGCCAGAAGCATTTGCAACACACTCGGCTATTTCGGATTTCCATGAGATTGCGCAGACAATTCTTACAGCACTATAAAGCAACAGCCATGCTCCACAAAAACATACCCTCGCGCCGCGATTCAGCGCACCAACTATGTCTCAAATCCATCTGAGGACGTCGATGTTTCGCAAACGGATATAGACATGTTTCACAAAGACACCCTTTAAACCTACACAAAATTTTACGACAGAAAGTCGCAGCTGCGCTATCAGCGAAGAATTCTAAGTAACTAGAGCAGCAAGCTCATCAGCTGATAAATGCTTGCAAACCCATTGGATACGCTGCCAGGAAAGCCGGCGCACGTACTCAATGGCTGTCCGTTCGTACAAACGGGCCTGCTCTTCAAACTCCCGCATTCTCTTCACCAAAAGAAGGTCTCAAAAACACCACGGGGTGGCAGATCAACTATCCACAGCGCGAGGGTTTAGACAAGAAGGCAAGCAACCCGTGTCTAGCAGAGAGCGGCCACCTGCACGGCTTGATTCCCACCAATAGACAGGCCCCAGGCCGGATCCGATGTCATGGCACGCAGCCACGCGTGACCCTGTGGAGCACTGCCATCTGGCAATTGAATGCTGCGATATTCCAAAACAGCCAACGGTTGATATCGTAACACCACACACCCACTGCCTGGCAGAATTGCCGGTTCTTTGGGATGCAATTTGATGGAGCGAACAATGACGGGCAACTCTCGACTGAGCATCGGGCAAATGCCCATGAGGTATTGAGTCTTGTTCATGTTGGCAACTTGCAACGCTGCTAAACTCTGCTCCTTTGTCAACTCAGTGGGTCCCTTAGCGCGACCAATGGCTTGTACCAAAAACAACGTTCTGGACGTTTGTTGAGCTTCTCATGGCAACACGGAGATGCTGCAACCGGGCCATTTGTTCCCATGCCAGACCACCCCAGTGAGCGTCTTCGCTCTGATACCGCCGGCCACAGCCAAGCTGCGCAGCTCCACCGCCCCCATCTCTTCCAAACGTCCACGAAGCCATTCCGCTCCCTTGCTCACGGTATTGTTGCGGAGCTCTGCCCATCGAGCTTCGACAGACTTTGAAGACGAGCTCGCCTGAAACAACGCACAGGCTCCAAAAGTAAGAAACAGGCCCCATAACGAATGCCTTACTCAAAAGAACATGTACCATGTAACTTTTTGCGCGCATACATATGTATACCCAAAACACAGCGGCTGGGCCTGCTCCATTGGCGCCAAGGCTTCCATCAACGCAGAGCGCAGTTGCGCAACCGTCAGCCATCTATCTCCCGTCTTTGCTCTGATACCGCCGGCCACAGTCAAGCTGCGCAGCTCCACCGCTCCCATCTCTTCCAAACATCCACGAAGCCATTCCGCTCCCTTGCTCACGGCATTGTTGCGGAGCTCGTCCCATCGAGCTTCAACAGACTTTGAGGACTCAGTCTCCTGAAGCTTTGCAAAATAAAGAAGCAAAAGCAAGAAAGAAAGTTCTTTTTAACCTCTGCTACGTTTCGCGATCATTGTTGCATCGCTCACACCATCACAAACCGTGATCCGCAACATTGATGTAAAACCGAAACACCGTCCTGTGAAGACACATGGTTGGACAGCTTTGTAATCAACTCCTTTGCGGCCGCAGCTTGACACCCCAATGTGCTCTGCCATCCTCTTCAACTCCAACGCTCCAAACTTTGCCAACTTCTCACGCAGACGGGTAGCTCCTCCCTCCGCCGCAAGACGTTGTAATTGAAAAATGTCTTCTGCGCACTGAAACTTTGTGATATCATTCTTTCGACATCCCACTGGCAGAAAAACCTTCAAAGACGCAGCAATGGCGATCAATGACTCTTTGTTGAAAGAAGACAAACGTCTTTCCAACCATGCAACGCCATGAAGTCGCAAACCCTCTTCCAAGCGCGGCAACTGGTCCATTCTCGTGGTAGCGGACAGTCCCTTCAAAAAAATGGAACAGTCACCACACTACTATGACACGCGTGACGGGCACGCGACTCGAACCAAAAGCTTGTTCCGCAAGCATGTTCTGCAAGCAAACTCTACCCATTCAAACTTGTAATGCCTTCACTACCTCCACGCACATCCAAGCTCCGTACATTCCAACCACGGATGCCCTCCTTCATCCATCCTCCGCCGATGCAGAACGAACTTGGGCCAGGGGGAGGAGGTCGAAAGCTAGCCGAATCGCACCGGATGTACTGGTTACATAGTCGGCAAAGCATGTAGTGATACATGTTTTGGGAGAAAGGTTGCTACGTACACACTTTGCGCTAAAGAATGTAAATGTGACATCGCCGACTGGGAAGGGTACATTGGAACAACACGGGTGCACTCGTTGGCAGGCACGAAGATGCGTGATCGGCAAATCTGGGGGGTAAATTTACCCCCCGCTTTTGTATGCCTTGAGTCGGAAAGAGGGGTGAGCATTTCTGACATCACACGGACTGTACATACACTAGGGCGACCGTAGTGTAGGAGAAGCACGGGCAAAAGGTATATGGAATAGAGTGTCTTGAGGAAATAGCCGGCTTATGGTTATTGCAATTCTGGGGGGGAAATTTACCCCCCGCTTATGTATGCCTTGTGCCGGAAAGAGGGGTAAGCATTTTTGGCATCACAAGGACTGTGCATACACTAGGGCGTCCGTAGTGTAGGATAAGCACTGGTAAAAGGTATAAGGAGTAGAGTGTCTTGAGGAAATAGCCGGCTTATGGTTATGGCAAATCTGGGGGGTAAATTTACCCCCCGCTTATGCATGCATTAGGCCAGAAATAGGGTAAAGAACTTGTAGCAGTGAAGTACAAGGCCTATGCAGCAAGCAGCAGCCAGCAGCAGCAGCAGCAGCCGCCAGCAGCCAGCAGCCAGCAGCAACCACCAACCAGCAGCCAGCCAGCAGCACCACGCAGCAGCAGCGCAGCACCAAGCAGCACCACCACCAGCAGCAAGCAGCAAGCAGCAAGCAGCAAGCAGCAGCAGCAGCGGCGTCGTCAGCAACAGCAGCAGCGGCACCAAGCCGCAACAAGTAGCAAAGCAGCAGCTACAAAAGCGGCGACCAGCGGCAGCAGCAAACAGCAGCGGCAGCAGCAGCACCGTTTACACCAAGCCACCGTTTACACCCAACCAACCACGTTCACACGTTCAACCAACCCCCGCTACACGAGGCAGCTGGGAGTCGAACCGTGGGGGGGGAAGGGGGGGGTTAGCGTGATATATCAAGCTTTAAGGCACACAGCTCATCCCACTACCAATTGCTAAAGCAAAGAAGAACTCAGCTAGCACGCTAGCTTTCATGATCAAGCTTTAAGCCACGCAGCTCATTCCACTTCCAATTGCTAAAGCAAAGAAGAACTCAGCTAGCATGCTAGCTTTCGTGATTACCTACCGCTTTTGTATGCCTTGGGTAGGAAAGAGGGGTGAGCATTTCTGACATCACACGGACTGTACATACACTAGGGCGTCCGTAGTGTAGGATAAACACTGGTAAAAGGTATAAGGAATAGAGTGTCTTGGGGCAATAGCCGGCTTATGGTTATGGCAAATTTGGGAGTAAATTTACCCCCCGCTTTCGTATGCCTTGGGTCGGAAAGAGGGGTAAGCATTTCTTGCGCCACAAGGACTGTACATACATTAGAGCGTCCATAGTGTAGGATAAGCACTGGTAAAAGGTATAAGGAATAGAGTGTCTTCAAGAAAGAGCCGGTAGCAAATTTGGTGGGTATGGGTACAATCAACAATTTTGCCAAACCACACATGTCGAAGACAGTAAATTCAAACACTTTGCTCTCAGGTAATGAAGATTCATCAACTGACGAGGCGCAGCCAAAATGTTATGTGATGCGTCCACAAGAAGAAGACGAGCAAATGACCATGCTTCCGACGAAGCTGACCATGCTTCCGACAAAGCTCGTCAATGAATCCTAAATACAAACACTAAGAGTGTCTAGATGAAATAGCTGGTTTACTGTTATGGTAAATCTGGAGGGTAAATTCCCACCGCTTTTGTATGCCTTGGGTCGGAAAGAGGGGTGGGCATTTCTGACATCACACGGACTGTACATACACTAGGGCGTCCGTAGTGTAGGATAAACACTGGTAAAAGGTATAAGGAATAGAGTGTCTTGGGGCAATAGCCGGTAGCAAATCTGGCGGGTATGGATACAATCAACAATTTTGCCAAACCACACATGTCGAAGACAGTAAATTCAAACACTTTGCTCTCAGGTAATGAAGATTCATCAACTGACGAGGCGCAGCCGAAATGTTATGTGATGCATCCACAAGAAAAAACAAGCAAATGATCATGCTTCCGACGAAGCTGACCATGCTTCCGACAAAGCTCCTCAATGAATCCTAAATACAAACACTAAATCAGTGGATGTTTTGCAAAAACGCATGCAAAATCCCATGAGTGTCATCTTGATTCTCCCATAATTACGTGTGCTTCCGCTACCCAGGATCATCCAAAATTCAAGCGCATGATGTCTTTGACATCCTGGTTTTGAACGCACACCCCAAAATCAAAAATACCAAACAAAACACCAACAATTTCCAACATGTAACAACACCTCCACTAATGCCAAAACGCCTGCAGCTGGGAGTTGAACCGCGGGGGGCGGGGGGAGGGGGGGGGGTCCTTAGCGTGATATATCACGCTAAAGTGGGGGGGCCAGGCACCTCCCCTTAGTGTGATATATCAAGCTTTAAGGAACACAGCTCATTCCACTACCAATTGCTAAAGCAAAGAAGAACTCAGCTAGCATGCTAGCTTTCGTGATTATTTGCACAATCACCATTGTGTCATGAAAAACAGATATGCTCCAAAATCTTTTCAGACCATCAATAACGGCCACGATCTCATTGCTTTATGGAAATGTGTCGCCTTGCAGCACTGACTCCAAGTAAGGCTCCGACCACAACGGCGACGTCATCGCTCGAAGCAGCTCCATGTCCAAACTCTTCAATTGCTTCGCAGAACCCCGTGAACGAACCCCTCGAATTTGCAATCTTTGGATACATGCACAAATCCGAAACAAACAACAACGCTGTCACTACCGCCCAGTCCACAACAAAGTGAGAATATCAGGCTTCCAAAACGAACCTTTAAACTTTACCCGCTTTCTGTGCCACAAAAACTATGAAGATAAGCAGAGGGTCGCTCGTGCCAAATCCAAAACGCAATCTCACCTGCATTTCGTGCCCTCCACACGCACGATCTCCGCAGAGGGTTGCGCTGGACCAATCCAAAACGCAATCTCACCTGCATTTCGCGCCCTCGACACGCACGATCTCCGCAGAGGGTTGCGCGCGACCAATCCAAAACGCAATCTCACCTGCGTTTCGCGCCCTCGACACGCACGAACTCCGCACAGGGTTGCACGCGACCAATCCAAAACGCAATCTCACCTGCACTTTGCGCCCTCGACACGCACGATCTCCACAGAGGGTTGCGCGGGAAAAATCCAAAACACGATCTCACCTGCATTTCGCGCCCTCGACATGCACGATCTCCGCAGAGGGTTGCGCTGGACCGGGCAAAAAAATAATCTCACCTGCGTTTCGTGCCCTCGACACACACGATCTCCGCAGAGGGTTGCGTTTCGTGGTGCTCCGGCGGCACCGCCCCCGCCTTAAGAGAGAAAGAAAAGAAGAGCGACAGGATACGCAGATGTGAGATGTGCAGATGTGAAGATGTGAAGATGTAGATGCGCAGATGTGAAGATGTGACGATGTAGATGCACAGATGTGAAGATGTGAAGATGTGAAGATGAGCAGAGATGTAGGTGTGCAAATGTGAAGATGAGCAGAGATGTAGATGTGCAGATGCGAAGATGAGCAGAGATGCATATAGATGTGCAAATGTAGATGCGCAGATGTGAAGATGTGAAGATGAGCAGAAATGTAGACGCGCAGATGTGAAGATGAGCAGAGATGTAGATGTGCAAATGTAGATGTGCAGATGTGAAGATGTGAAGATGTAGATGAGACATAGTTCTACAGATGCTTTTTACAAAAGAACCTTCGCAGACGCTCTCGGGAAAACAACAACAACAACAACAACAATACACCCCCCTTGTTGTTGCAACGACACCACGCCACCCCCAATAGAACCAACAACAACAACAACAACAACAACAACACCACACCCACCCAGAAACAACCTTATTGTTACAACGATACCACCCTGCCCCCAATTGAGCCAACAACTAGACACGCCCCCTTTGTTATAACAACGCCACCCCTCGCAATTGAAACCGCAACAACCCCCCCGCTATCGGGCGGGTATGGCCAAGGCACAACCCTGTATGTAAGAACTTGGGAGAAGAAGTCGGCGGCCAAGCATATCACCTCGTCGGTCAAGTCAAAGATCGTACTTACGATCTGTCTTCAGCCCTTCAGCTGTTTGCCATGTTTGCCTCTGAGGAGATCTCATGCTTGAGGTCGGGAATCTCCAGGTATTCCAAATGCTGCGCTCCAAGTTCAAGGAGCCTCTCCTGAAGTTCTTGGAGCGTTCTGGTTCACTTCTGTGTTGTTTTTCACTTACGCACGCGGCGTCGATTGAACGAGCTGGCATAGATGCGCTCTCCACCATCGAAAGGCTGCCCTGTCCTTTGCCATCCGAGTCGTCTCCACTGTGACAGTCCTAGAGTTTCAAGTCGTCTTCACTGTGGATGGAACCTCAAGTTGATTCAGGTTGCCTATTTCTTCCTTATATCAGCTTGTACCACAAGAATGGTATGACCATGTCATGTGCATATTCTGTCCTGTCGCATCCACCTGAAACGAAAAGGATCCGCGTATTGCCAAGCGCATCAGTCACCTCCAGGTCCCATGGCATTCCACCTTGGAAATGGGCCCGGCCAGAAACTGAGGATCTCCGAAACAGTGAATCGAAAAAGGGCCCCTAACCACTGGGATCCTATGCTGCCCGGATCTCGTGAGTGGTCCATTCACCTGTACCTCTCTTGAGTCTTGGGATCCCTATTAAAGGCTGGCAGGGACGAGATTCAACCGAGCTGCCATTGAGAACGACCAAGCCTGCGCAGGGCTTTGGCAATTCCAGTGCCAGAAGTGCGGCCAGCATTGACCCTTGGGAGAAGCCTAGGAAAGCTACCTGAACTGAGCCAATTGACATACAAGTCAATAGATTGAGGACTGTTTGACCCGCAAAATGCAACATCGGCCTGGGCCATCTGCAGGCCAAGCCTGTTACAGTAAGACCTCAGATTCAGGATAAATAATCATAATTATAGATATTTGGACATATATACGTGGATATGTCTACAACTCTCTGGCACTCCGAGGAGGTCTCTGCACGAACGCAAGCAGCTGTTGACGAAGCTCGTATATGCGGCCATCAAGGTGTCCTTCACATACTACACCACTCACACAAACATGTGTGCAATGCTTTGATGGAGACCGCTTTTGCTTAGACTGACTTAGCCTGCTGTCAAAAACGGATACAAACGCAAAATTTTGTTTCCCTCCAAATGATTACTGCGTATCCATTGTACAAGTACGGCTGGCCATCTGGCGACATGTTTTTTCACTTCCAAACTGTGAAATCTGTCCTGTCTTTTCGGTCTCGTACCAGGAGTTGAGACCGTGTGGCCCGGGCGGCGCCGTGGGCAAAAGAAACCTACCCAGGCCACTGCCGAACATGACAATCGACTCATTGCATCTGGTCGCAGGTCAAAAGCACGATTTATATATAAATCCGCCGGCCTGCCGGCGTGTTTTGTGGATTGTTTTGGTTAGTATTGCTTGTGTTGGTTTCAATCTACGGTTTGTCTCTCCGCGCGGATTTTTCGACAGCCTGACGCCCCCCCCCCTCCCCCTGAAAAGTAGAGCCTACCTGTACAGGGTTCCACTCCAACAGCCGATATAGTGTGTCCACGCTTGACTGCTTCAAGGCTCAAAGAGCAAGAGGATAAGACTCTGCGCATAAAAGACACTAGCGGTCTGCACCTCTACCGTGTACGCCCTAGTCACTCTTTCAGTGGTAGCGGAGCAGTGATCCTGGAAGACCCAGGTGAGCTCCTTTCCTAGGCATAGAATTGCTAGTGGGCAAACGGCCATGGATTGGATTGACGACTGGGAAGAGCCTGATGCGGATGTGGCTTATGAGCCAGCAGCCTATGTGAATAGGCATGTGAGAAGAGAGACAGCAGCAATAGCAATGACAACACAGGTCACTACAAAGGTGCCCCCATCTTATGATGGAAAGACTTCATGGTTTTCCTATGAGGATGCCATAGACGATTGGTGTGATATCACCGAGCTGGAAGATGAGAAGAGAGGACCAGCATTGAGAAACAGATTAGAAGGAGAAGCAGCTGTATACAAGCGTGTTTTAGACAGAGATGCATTGAAGGCAAATGATCCACCAGGAGCCGGCGTAGAATATTTCAACCGAGTACTACGACCATATTTCGTGAAAGGATCAACCAATGTATTCCTGTATAGATTTATGCAATTCGTGCGCTTCAATCGAGGATCAGCTGACATGATGAAATGGATGACAAGATTCCAGATTTTACTCCAAAGGCTTATGAGCAGTTGGATGGACATGTTAGAACCAGTCACTCAAGCACACCCACAGGTCCTAGCTCAGATGCAGGCAGATGCAGCGTTGACTGGAGTAGCACCAACGGCAGAAAGGATTCAGGAAATCATGCAGACCATCAATGGCAATATGAGGACTTTTCATCAGAACGAATTTCCTCTAGGAGAAAACCTCATTGCCTTACTCATGCTGTCACTTGCAGATTTGTCTCAGGACCAGCGAAACACTTTGACTTCTTTGATGACTCATCGTGGCAGGGTCCTGCAGCAATACACTACAACAGAGTTGAGGACAGTGTTCATCGAGATGTTCTGCACGACAAAGACTTCAGTAGACAATCCTTTGATGCAGCCGACAGGTGCTGGAGGTAGAAGATCATTTCTCGTCCTAGACGAAGGAGAACTCGATGGTACATTTGGCTATTGGGCCGAAGATGAAGAAGATGGAACAGAAGGATTTTTAGATGCCCTGGACGATGTCTTTTGGGTATATGATGATCAAAACTTCTCGTGGTTCCAAAGGAGATTCCAAGGAAGAAGAGCCAGAAAAGGCAAAGGAAAAGGAAGAAGAAAAGGAAAAGGCAAAGGAAGATCAGGCCGCAGATTCTTCAGACCTCGTGGAAAAGGAAAAGGAAAGAGACGAGGTAAAGGCCATTTTGCTGATGAGCAACAGACAACATATCCAGAAGAGTACTTTGAAGAGAATCCTTATGAGGACACTTGGGAGTCAAACCAAGTAGCATATGATGCCATTCTTGCCGAAGATATGAATGACTATCTTCAAGGAGAATATGATGATGCCAATGACTTTTGGCAACAGCTTGAAGAAGCATGGTTTTCCCACAAAGGAAAAGGAAAAGGCAAGAGAAAAGGTAAGAAAGGAAAAGGAAAAGATAAAGGAGATGGCAAACAAGATGCAAACTATGCAAATCAACAACAGCCACGTTCTTTACCTGCACCTTCAAGATCTTCACAAGCATCAGGAGGTCAACAAGGTTTCTTTGCACATTGTGTGACAGCAGCAGCTGAAGTCCATGACAGTGAGGTGGACTTGCTGTCAGGCATGATGACCTCATGTCAAGATGAAGCTGACTGCGCGGTCAACAATGGTGAGACGATCTTCAATGGCATGAGTGCCCCTGTGAGGTACTCTTTGTCAAAGGAGATGCTCAAAGGGCTCCTGATGGCTTTGCGCTTATGAGCGCTGAGGAAGAAGTGAAGGAGATGCAGGCCATTTCATTTTTGACTGAGAATCGCTTCCCGCCGACTATTGCAATCCTGGACATTGGATGCACTAGAGCTATGGGATCAAGGCGAGCAGTCGACCATTTTTGCAACTATGTCGACAATCACCCAGATTGTGGATTATGGTACTCTTTTGAGTCTACCAAGAGCAAGTTTTACTTTGCCAATTCCCAGAAGGCTACTTGCTCTCAGAAACTGGTGATTTACATGTATGATCGTGCATGGACGATCCACCATACAGAGTTCGACATAGTGGAAGAAGGAGAAGTCCCTTTGCTTATGAGCTTGCCACAGATGAGGAACTTAGGCTTTGAACTCAGGCTGACACCTCAACATGCTTATCTGACATCGGTGCCTCTTGGTATCAAATATTTGGTGTTGAAGGTTGCAGCCAGTACTCATCTTGTCTTGGACTTCCAAGATATTGCATGGTATCTGTCTGACGTGAATTTGCAGACTCGGCGCGAGAAGAGTTTTTACTCTCACTTCACTCACTATGAATATGGTCATATTTCTGTTGATCTCAATAGTGATGAAGATGTAGCTGAACATGCATATCCTGTGGTTGACTACTGGGAAGTAGATGTTCACAAGAGAGAACTGATACGTCACCACAAGGATTATAGAAAGATTCTTTTTCCAGCAACTAAGTCCTGTCCTGTAGACACTGACTTACTGGAAGACTTGCGACTGACAATCATCAAGAAGAAAGAAGGTGGAGAAGAGATCAAGAAGCTAGATGATTGGCGCAAGGCAAAATGGAAGGACCTACAAATTGGCTATGAATGGCGTGGTAGAACAATTTTTAAGTTCAAACCAGATGCCAAAATTCCAGATCTAAAGATCAGGAAGGCTGGCATTGAGCACCGTGGCATTGGTGATCCCGATGCAGTGGTGCGCTCCTCCTCAGAGAAGGTTCCCATTGCAAAGGACAGGGAACCAGGCTTCTCGTCAGAGAAGGAAGGTGCACCATCAAGTGCCGCGGAAAAGCCCGTGCCGCCAAAGTTTCGGTATACTTCCAAGGGTTTTGATCCATTTTGGTAGGGACACAAGTCGAAACCATCTGAGCCTCAGAATGATTTAAAGGGTGATGATCTTGAGGAGTATGCTCCCTCAGAACCACCTGAGAGGCCAGAAGGTGAACTTGTAGAAATTCCTAAAGCATCAAAAGGACCATCAAGTGATAAACATGAACCACTTGAACCAGGTGATGGCGCTCTTGAGCCTAGGCGGATTTCAATCCCATTACCTGGTAGTGAAGTTGTTGCAATGACACCGGCATATAGGAAGATGTTACAGAGACTGGAGGACAAGGTAGAGCTTTATAAGCTTCATGTGAAGCACTACCATATGAGTCCTACTCAGTTTCGTAGACGTGTTTCTATGTTGAAGCTTCCTGACTCTGTTTTAGAGAAGTATGAATCAGTTGTCAGGAACTGCCGTGTTTGTAACACTTCAGTGGCACCTCCGCCACGAGCCAGAGTCTCCGGTATTAGAGCTTCATGTTTTGGTGATGTTGTTTTTGCTGATCATTGTGAGGTTGAACTTCACAAGAACAAGTATATCATCTTACTTGTTCTTGATGGTGCCACAAATCTTCTCTGGGCTACGGCACAGAAAGACCTCATAGATCAAACCACCATCCAAGCATTGAGGCAATGGTCTGATGAGAACAACTGTGTTCCGAAGGCCATCGTAGGAGACGAAGCCTTTCTCACAGATGCTTTTGTTGAATACTACAGGTTCCATGGTATACAACAATGTCCTTGTGGGCCAAGAACTCCTTGGCCGAACCGAGCAGAGACAGCTGTACGTTTGTTCAAACGTATGTGGCATGTTATGAAGGTAGATCTGGATGACCCACGGTTTCGTGGTGTTACGGTCAGAGAAGTGGTCAAGAAAGTAGTGTGGGCAAGAAATTGTCAGTTGACTATCAGTGGATATTCACCAATAGAGATAGCAACTGGAAGACGTCCACCAGATCTTTTTGACCTTGAGACCGCAAGCCCTGAGCAATTGTCAGCTAATGCCGCCGCACAAGATCGTACAAATTTGGAACTACAACGTGTGGCTTTGAGAGCTCATCAAGAAGCACGACAAGCTCAGGACCTTCGAGCAGATCTTGCAAGAAGGACTATGCCAAGTGACGGTCCTTATTTCCAAGGAGAGAAGGTTTTTGTTTGGACTCAGGATTCATCAAAGTTCAAGGATAAAGGACGTTGGGTTCGTGCCACAGTACTTGGACAAGAAGGAGCTATGGTCCAAGCCAATACTGGTAAGGCAGTGATACGTGTGAATCAGTCAAAG